GGGTGGCTTCCTCCTTGCCTGTTCGGTCCCCTCGGCCCAGAGCTGTGGTTTGGCTTTGACCCGACTCTCCTTGGGTCAAGCTAAACACCGATGGATATTTCGATCGCCATAGCGGTACTGCCGGAGGAGGAGGCTTGATTAGGGACCACAGTGGAGCCCTTATCACCGCCTTCCACACATCCCTTCAGGCCTCCTCGAGCTACGATGCAGAGATTCAGGCATTACAGATTGGCCTCCAGATTGCTGTCGACATCTCTAGTCATATTTGGATTGAGCTGGATGCTGCGACTGTCGTCACCATCCTGGCCTCGGGTCATCAGGGATCTTGGCAGATTCAGCATCCGCTTATGCGCATTAGAGATCGTCTGCGGTCTGTCCAGTACAGGATCACACACATCTTCCGTGAGGGGAACAGACCTGCTGATTATCTTGCCAGCCTTGGCACTACCATACCAGACACGCACACGTACCAGACCGACACTGCTCCACTTCGCCTACGCACGCTAGTTCGGATGGATCAGCTGGGATATCCATCGTTTCGAGTTCATTAGAGCAGGGTTTTTGATTTTGTTTTATTCGGATCCATTTATTCCGGGCATCTGTTAGCCCGATGACATACCGTGTATTATTTTCATTTCATGTTCGTGTTGGGATTATGAAACTATGATGATTTTTTTTGGCCCACTTTAGGGTCTTGATCTATATACAGGTTGGGGATCCAGCCCAATCCCCTGCCCCTCGGGGTGTTGTTTGTTTTAAAAAAAAAAAAACCTAGCAACTACTCACCTAGCACAATCATACAACTAACCTAGCACAATCATACAACTAACCTAGCACCATCAGACAATTAACCTAGCAACTACTAACCTAGCACAATCATACAACTAACCTAGCACAATCATACAACTAACCTACCACCATCAAACAATTAACCTAGCATGCTAGGTTATCTATATTTAATTGCAAGTTTAGTTGTCAACGGTCAACGCCGGAAGTCAACGGATTTTCGCCGGAAGTCAATGACGGAGTCAACGGTCAACGCCAGAAGTAAACGGTCAACGCCAGAAGTCAACGGTCAACGCCGGAGTCAACGGGTCAAAATAATATTTAAATAATTAAAATAATAAAAAGAAAATCTTGGCCCCACATTATGTACCAAATCTTGTGGTTAGAAATGAGCCTCACGTCCTCACTTTAAGAATGTGGATGCATTTGAACTAATCTCTCTCTCTATATATATATATTAAGAATAACTGTTCACCAAAAATAGTAGTAACAACTCTTAGAAGCATTTAATGCATACCCTTTTTTGGAAACTTTTTAAATATATACATTAATTGTTTCTATATACACTTTTTCAAATAAGATCAAATCAGTTTAAATTTGAGAGTTTAACCTTTTACCTTATATGATCATAAACATCGTTTCCTTAAATAATTTTTATTAACATATGGAATAATTCAATGATATCCATTTTAATAAATTCCAAAATTGATTTACGGTGATTCATGTTGATAATATTTTGGGCAAGATAAATATTAAAACATATTTTAAGTTCTAACCATAATATTAATTTTTTTTCACAAATATTGACTTTTTATCTAAAAAATATTTATAAAAAATTGTAATAGATTAGGTTGAATTCTTTCTTTTAATTAATCAGTCGGAATAAAGTTGGTGAATTAATATTTGTGAATATAATTATTTATTAATCTTTACTTCGTCATATGTCGAAAATAAATTATTTTTCAAATTAATATTAATTTACCATTTAAGGGATAATGACCAGATATATTAAATAGTTTTACTATTGATCAAAATTTAAAATTGAAATATGTTAATTATTTTTTAAAATTTATTTGTATATTATTAGCAACCATGGATATTTTTTTACCATTTTTTATTTTGATTTCTTTCTATAATGAAATTATTGGAATTATATTTTAATTGCAGAGTATACTAAATAAACTATAAATCCTTATAATGCAAATTCAAAAAATTTTGATTATAGAATCAATCGAGTTTTTGGCATTTCTAAATCAAAGTTGTTTAATTACTATACAAAAATAAAATCTAAAAAACCGTGTGTGTAATTTTGTAAAATATTTATACACTATTTAATTTTAAATTTATTTATAATATTTCATTTTTAAGATTGTTAGTGCAACTGATCATGTCCAGTCCATTGCTCGTGAGCTCCATAATTCGTGGAGAAAATATATGCTTCAAGAAAATAGAAGAGTGTAATTATACATGCGTACTTCATGTTTATGAAGTATCAAATTTTAAGTACGACATTCCAACTATTTTTTAACTTTAAACTGCCCATGCATGCAGCTTATTATGACTGGTAACAAAGGCCAAATTATTCTATAATTTTTAACTTATTGAGTCTTTTATTATATATAACTCCTGACAAAAGGAATAAAGTAAGAAAATAATTACAAGAAGCTTAGCCAAAAGGAGATGTAGCTCAATAGTTATATTTCAGATAAAAATTCTAAGAAATAC